TCGATGAAGAAATGCGAAAACTAGAAAAGGATCGGTGCGTGTTTCAGATCGATTTGCCTTATCTAGTCTCCAGTACAAATACACGTGGAATCTTTGGTTGATCGTTGGCAGACTGCCAGCAAATAGGAAGACTGCTATCGAATCGACTTATATACGTATTCACATCGTACCTTCGGAACGGAATGTGTTTTACGGAAATAACATCGGTAACGTAAACATTGGCACATTATAATCGATGCGAAGTATCGATCGACGTTTATGCCGATTACATTTCCTTATTCCGTAAACCGGTATTCTCACGTGTTTCTCTCTAAGTACACGTTTCACTGTTGTCAGTATAATTATCTTTCTTTAGATCTCGTGTTAATAACATGAGCAAAAAAAAAAAAAAAATAAAAGAGATGAAAAAGTGAATGACTTTTGACCATGAACGCGAATATAGAAGAGAATGTAGAAACACGAGTGTTTAACCATGCAATTTGCAAGAATCTATTCTATTTCCTTTGTTACGGTCGATCGTTGTGAATGTTAAAAAAGTCATAGCGAAATCGACAGGCGACGAAGCAACGCCGTAAAAAAGCATCAACCATGTCTTTCAAAGGTCCTTGGCCTTTCTCACATTCAAGGGCCTTTTCGACACTCACACCTGGGGAAAACCAAGCAACAAACACGGGCAAAAAATAGCATTCAATGAATCATAGTAGCGATGGGAATAAGTTATGCACGTACAAGTGAATCTGAATTAATTTGATCGATCTTATCGCATTCGCGATATCGCTTTTACATATACATTTTTTTTTCTCGAAAAATTCAAACATTCCGATTGAATGATCAATTAGGGAGAAATAACAAAAAGAAAAATGGATATTAAATTAAAAATATTTCTTTTATTTCTATCTATAAAAAAAATGTAATAATAGTTCGATGCACAGAAGAGTAAAGAACAGTATTTCTTGGTACGTTAAATTAATTAAGAAAAGAAAACGAATTTTGTAACATTCGGTGCCGAGAGTACTTTGGCAACAATTTCACTGCGAATAGGTTGATTTATCGATCTCGTTCCATTCGCTATTTTACAATATTTTCTAATTTCTTAATATCCATATTTATTATGTATATCGCTTGCCTAACGTCTGATAAACGTTTGACTGGGCAAAGCTACTTTTTTAACTAGATCTTTAAGCAATTTTGCATCGCGCCAGTGACTCGACGCGATAAAAGGGCTTCTCGACATCTCATCGCACACAGAAAGAAAATTCTTTTCCGTTCGAAATTATAACTTTATCCGCTAATAACGTAAATCTTGCTCCGCGATAAATTACGCTATCAACAGACCGAGCTTGTACCGATAATTTTGAGAGGCGTGATATTTTTTGTAAACGGGGATAGAAATCACTGACGATATTTTATCTTAAAATTAAATAGATATTGAAGTTTACACCTTCAATCTGTTATAAATATAATACAATATAATTTGAAATCTTCATTTTTTTTCTTTTTCTAATCAACGAGTAATTATTACATACGATAATAATTTTTCGTTTCAATGCGATATATATTATTCGTAGATCTATACTTGTTATATATTCGACTGCAAGAAGATCGAATATTCGTTCGAATATACGAGATACTTGGCCGATTAACTGGCCTTACTTTTATCGCTAATTTTCATTCGTTTCGACATCGAATATAGATTTCAGAAACTCAGAGTTTTCGAAACGACTAATACGTGGATAATGGAATAAGATAAAAACCGATTTATTCGTCACCAAACACATCTCGACGAAGACCAAGAAATTTCCATTATTCTTTATTTATTTCCATTCCCATTATAAATTCTTTTTGCAGAATTGCAAGAGATAAGAAAAGGCTTGTGTTATTTCTCGAGACATAGCAACAGGTAAATTTAATAATTTTCATTGCTTTTAGGATCGCTTTTATATCCCAAATGCGTTAAGCATAAAAAGAAAGATACACATTTGAAATTTCTTAGACATTTATTCTTCAAATATGAAATCAACTGTGGACGCTTGACCGTGTTATAAAAACTGTAATAACGACTTTTCGCGAATAAAAGATAACTTCAGGTCTAACCACAAATGATTCGTTATATTCGTACTTCACACGTGTCGAATATTTCACGTTATTTTAATTCTTTCGTATGGCATGGTTTTAATATATATATATATATATATATATATATGAAGCAATAGTG